AGACACTTTCTTTTGTTGTTGGGAAACTTTTGCGTCAAGTGGACTAAATGACGGCAACAATCCTACCCAAATGCAAAATCACTTGCCACATAGGCATGACATGGAAAAATTTTACCACACAAGCAAGTGTCCTAATGACAGTTAAGTTTGCTGTGAGAGTAAGAGCTGATTTGTTTCGATTGCAGAGTTCACGGCTTATCTACATCAATTAAAGTCTGGGGCTTAATAGTGATTTTGGGATTAGTTGAGGGGCTTAACTTATGGTTTTGCCAAGAATGTAGGCCGCTTTTCTTTTATTTTCATTTCTGTTCTTTTCTTTTTTTTGGGAGAAGAATGTAGCAGTTAGAGTTGCGCATATGGTAATCTCTTTTTTTGCACTTTGATATACTCTAAATTAAAAAATAAAAATAAAAAACTTTTCTCATAATAAACACATGGAAAAACAATAAAGAGAAGAAATTCTTGATAAATTTTGACTCTGTTAATATGGTTTTAGTTTCAATTTTAGTTTTGATTTTTATAAATTTTATAATTTTAAGCAAATAAAAAAATCTTGTTTAGTTTTTGTTTATATGTTAATATATTATTATGTATTAGAGAAATAGAAACAGTAATTTTAAATAGTTACCTTGTTTGTCTTAAAATAATTGCTTTTTTTATTTCTTTCCTAAGTTAAAAATTTTGAGGCAATATTTATATTTATTTATAATATCCTTAAAAAAGAAATAAAAAACAAAACAAGGTTTTTTTGTGATTAGATATTAATTAAAGTAAATAAATGATGATAAGGTTAAAGTATGATAAAATATTTTAGTAACTTAAAAAATAAAAAATAAATGACAATTAATTTGGAATAAATTTTAAGTTAAAAAATGACAATTATTTTAAGGTTGAAGAAGTAATATTTATTAGTTACACTCACAAAGAATTAGAAAAAAAAAACACTTAATTTGAACAAAGCATATGAGAAAATGATTAAAACATGACAGAACCCTCAAATCCACCCTCAAAAAATAGCGATAGGGACACATCCACCCCTAAAAAAAAAAACAGGGATAAATTGCCCCTCCAAATCATACATTAATACAAATCACCTTTTTTTCAACGTTTTCCGTTAAAAAATACTAGCATGGCAAACAGAATTCTGACGTTTTTCATTGAAAAAATAGTGATTTGTATTGATTTATGATTTGGAGGGGCAATTTATCTTTTTTTTTTTTATTTATGATTTGGAGGGGCAATTTATCCTTTTTTTTTTTT